CCCTAACCCCCAACCCTCCAAACCCTAGATCCTCCACCCCTGATCCCAAACCCTGGTCTCACCCGTGAACAGGTATTGGTCGTCCTGCCCGTATCTGTTGCGGTCCAGATTAGTCGAGTACTGCCCCGCCTCCCCATCCGACAGGTAGTGCTTGCGCAGCTCCTCGGGGACGCGGTGGGTGCCTGTAGTGAGCTCGACCACCTTAGTGCGGCGCGTGTTGTTGGACAGAATCTAAGGGGGGGTGGGCGGGGAGACGGGGTTGGAACGGCGGGGTTAGGGATGTGGGCCGGGTTCAGGAGTGTTGGGGTTCAGGGGTGTTGGGGTTCAGCGGTGAGGGAGTTCAAGTTGTGCGGGCGTGGGTTCAGTGAGTTCAGAGGTGTGGGGGTCCAGGGCTGCAGGAATGGGGTTTGAGAAGGGAGGGGCCAGGTGCTGGCATGCGAGCGCAGAGGGAGGGGCCAGGTGCTGGCATGCGAGCGCAGAGGCGGCGTCAAAGGGGGGCCGCAGGAGGCGCGAGGGGCGCGCGCAGGGGGCGCGGGCGCCGCTGCTCGAGGGCCGCCGAGGGGGCTCACCTGCAGGACGTTGCGGCGGTCTCCTATGCGGCACGACTCCGCGACATGAAGCGTGTGCAGTACCTGCGGGGCCGCGGCGCGGGATAGGAGTGATGCCTGGGTGAGGGTGTGGGGGGGGGCCACACCAGCCGGTGCAGCTGCCGGGGAATGGGGCGCGGCGCGGCGTGGCGCGGGCTCCGTCTGCGCGGGCCGGGTGACGCCGAGGTGTGCGCTCGTGCACGCGCGCGTGTGCGTGTTTCCGCGCGCGTGCGCGGGAGCCGGAGGCGCGCGTGTGCGCGTATGTGTGTGCGCCGAACCTGCAGGAAGGCGGCCGTAACGCTGGCGCAGGCGTCGGTCTCTGTGGGCAGGTGCTGGGTGCCGTTGATGAGCTTATAGGAGTAATGGTTCCACCTAAAGTAGGCCTTGTACCTGAAAAATGCCAATGCGGCGGTTTGCGGCCCCGGTCAAACGGCGTGCAACGGCCCGAGGCGGCCGCTGCTTGTCGGGCGGTTCGAGGGCGGCGGCGGTTGCGCGCGGTCATGCGCGCCGCGGCCGCGGAGGTGGGCGTGCGGCGATCGCGGCGGGGGGCTCACAGTAGCTGGTTGTTTGTGGGCCGGGCGCGGCCCGCCGCGTTGGCGGCCGCGCGCGCCGCAATGCTCTGCGTGGCTGCGCGGCGCGCGCCACCACCACCGCGGTTGCCTGTGCCCGTGCTGCCGCCGCTGCGGTATCCAGCCTCTTCTGCACCCCAGTCCTCATCATCACTATTGGAGACCTTGGACCGCTTCTTGCCTCGCCCCATCCGTGCTGCTGCTTTTTGCAAGCCAACCGGGAGTGTCGCTGGATCACGACAGCTGCCACCTCACGCAGGCCCGGTCATGGGCCATGTAGAGACCACGAACAAGCTTCTTCGACCCTCTATTTGCTTGTAGGCGCACAACGGACCGAGCCTAGTTGGCGGGCTCCAGAGTGTTGCACTGGCCGGCTAGGAAGAAGCTTTGGTGCTGGGAGAAAGCTTGAAGAAGGGCTTGAAGATGTACGTATGGCCTGTGTCTACCGTATGGCGTGAATACAACCCGGAGCAACTTTCGGTAATTTCGAGTCCTCGACGGCGCAAAGGGCTTCCGAGATACCCCGCTTCTGCACAGCTCCAACAAGGTTGATCTTTAAGACATGTAAGGCCTGACGCAGCGCACTGCCCTGCAGGGTACGCTGCACTGCGGCCCGTGGCGGGCCGGCGCCGTCAGCAGAGCGCTGTGGCATGCAACCGCCTCAAAAGGCAGCCACATGCACGCATTCAGTTGCCGAGTGTGGGCCTGCGCTACATTCACAGCCTTTCTCCGCATGTGCCTCATTTCAGTGGCAGCGTGTTACAAGCAAAGCAAGGGGGACTCTCCAACACGAAATGCACCAAAACGATCTATGACACGACACCAGCCACGGTTCACAATGCCACCCAGGTGTGTCGGGCCCGCTACGGCCGCCACGCAGCGCCGCCGCCCCTGTCCGTCGCCCGCACGCCCACTTGAAGGATTTTTGGATATGCAGGCTGAGCCGCACGCAAAATCAAGGGAAGCTGTACATTGTAGAGGGCACCTGCACCAAACACCAAAGCGCGGCCGCCTGCATTCGCGGGTCACACCAGCAAATCGATGACCCGCGAACGCCCCAGCAATACGCCGGCGGCGCGCTCCGGAAGGACTTGCAAGGTCACGCCCCTGGCCCCCACTCGGCCCGCCCACGCGGGCACGGCCGCGGCTGCCCCAAAAGCGTGGGCGACTGCGGGCGGCGAGGGCGCGGCGCGATGTGCGGCTGGCGCAGCCGTGCCAGGGCGTTGACCGCAGTGACTACTGGATGTGTGTAATTGTGGAGAGATTTCATTGATGCCGTATATCAGTGCCGCCATACCCCAGCTATCGTTGTGGTAATTGAACGCCGCTGTACCCGTCGCCGCCGGGCGCGCGTCCTCACATCCGCCCACAGTCATGCCACGCGACGTCGGAAAGGCAGTGCACGATTTGGGAGGCGGGGTGCTGGCTGAGGTGCCCCAAGTGTAGTGATGTGGGTGTTTTGCCCGGCGCCACCAGACGGCATGGTGATGGGCAGACACGACGTGTGCAGCCGCTTGCAGGCTTGACCCGGGCCTGAAGTGCGGGCGTGATTGACCCTCGCCCAAAGAGAATCATTGCCCCTCTGCCTCTTGCTGCTGCTGCTGCTGCTGCTGCTGCTGCTGCGCCTGCGCCTACGCCTGCCCCTCTCCCTCCCTCGAACCCTTGCCCCTCTGCTCCGGTGTCGGCGACACCGGCGGCCGCGGCGCCGCCGGCGGGCGTGGCGCCGCGGGCGGCCGCTCGGCGTCGGCGTGCGGGGCCGAGCTCATAGCAGCTGCCAGGTTGGCAGCTGCCTCGCCAACGTCGCACTCCGCCATCCGCTGCATACCCCGCTTCGGCGGCTCTGGCGGCAGGCACGGCTCCCCCATCAGCCCGCCCATCGCCGCGCTGAGCGCCTTGAGCATAGCCTCGCTCGGCGGCGCGCTGTGGCGCCGCACGCGCAGCTCCCGCGCCGCCCGAGGGGGCATCAATGGGGTCAGCTCGTCCTCGCCGCCGACGCCCTCTGAGGCGGACTCCATTATGTAATGCACCGCCTCCATCCCAACGGCGCCCGCATCTGACGTATCCTCGGACACGAGCGACGCGCCGCACTCGCTGTCCGCCTGCGCCTGTGGGTGCGCCTGCGGCGGCTGCCGCCGCGCGTGCTGCTGCGGCGGCTGTGGCTCGAGAATGCCCTGTTGCTGCTCGAGCGCCGCAGCCGCGGCCAGCGCGCTGACCGACAGCCGTGAGGGGCCCGACAGCTCCGCCGCGGCGCCTGCTGCTGCAGCTGCCGCGCTGGCGCCGTTCTGCATGCCATTAGGTGGCAATGCAACTGCCGCGTCCCCGCTGCCGCTGCTGCCGGTGAAAGTTATGGAGCCGGCGTCATGCCCTCCTTGCTGCTGCTGCTGGTGCTGCTGCTGCCGCTGCTGCTGCAGCCACCGCTGCTGCTGCTCATAGTGCTGCCGCTGCTGCTCCTGCAGCTCCTCCTGCTGCCTTAGGCGCTGCTGCTGCTGCCGTTGCAGCTGCTGCAGCTGCTTGGCGAGGCTCATCTGCAGCGCCTCCGCCGCCCTCTGCTGCTGGCGCAGCCCCTCCTCCTTCCGCTGCAGTTCGTGCAGCCGCTCTAGGCTCGCCACGTCAGCGCCAGCCCCTGCCGCAGCCGCAGCCGCACCTGCTCCAGCCGCCCCAGCTGCCGCCTCCATCGCCTCGAGTGAGAGTTTCGGAACGCTCTGCGTCCGCGGCGGTGTGCGCGCCAGCGACTGCTGCGCGCCGGGCGCCGCGTCCGAGGGCCCCGCAGCCGCCGCCGCCGCGGCCGCCCTGGGCGAGCCCGGCTCTGTGCAGCCGTCCAGGTCCCCGGCTTCGCTCGTGTCCGCGGTGCCCGGCCCCGACGCCGCGGCGCCGCCGTTTGCCACGCTCGGCGGCGACGTCCGGGGCCGTGAGACGATGCGGGTGCGCCTGCCCCGGGACAGCAGGTCATGGGGCAGGCCCATCTCCTGCTGCAGCCTGCGACGGGCGGGGTTTAGTGTTTCAGGTGTGGGGTTTAGGGTTTGCAGCTGGGCCAGGGTCTGGGAAGGAGCCCTCTTGGGGTTCAAACTTGTCAAGACGCAAATCGCAATGCCAAGTGCGCTGCAGCCGAGATCCGAGAGCAGTCAGCTGGATCGCGGAGCATGCATGTCGCCGTCGGCGCGCAAAAGCGCGGGCGGCCCTGCGTCAACCGCGCGACCAGCATGCCCTCTGTTGTTCCCGCGCGGACCCCCTCACTTTGCTACGATTGCCCGTGAGCTCCGCACCCATCCGTTGGGCAGCCGCTGGCGGTGGTCCGGGTGCAGCGGCAGCGTCAGGCGGCGCTTGCGGCAGACGTAGCCGAAGAAGAAGCGCGAGTAGTCTATGTCGCGCGGCACGCCGACTGGGCGGGGCGAGGGGCGAGGGGCGAACGGCGCGGGGAGGAGGGGAGGTGTGAGACGATGAGTGACTGAGGTTGCCTGTACATAAATGGGGCGACAGGAGCAGGCACACGAGGCCAAGTGCTGCTGCTCGCGCCGACGCTCCCGTGCAGCGCCCGCTTGGCGATAGCCCGCAAGCCGCCAGAGGCCGGGCGCCGCTGCTCGTGCGTGCGCGTCGGCGGGCGTGCTTGCGGGGGGACCTTGAGGTCCACGGT